CTCGGTTAGTATTCGTTATGTCATGTTGTCTGCGACGGCCTGTTAGTTAGTGTTAGTCACTAATGGAATAGTTAGTAAGGTACTGATCTGATCTGATCTGACATCAGCTTTGATCTGTTGTTGGAGTCATTAGTTAACATTCCTTCCAGCAAAGTAATTAAAGGTGATAGGTGGTGACTATGCCGGTGTAAGTGTAAGCTGACATGCACTAAATACTGGTTACTAAGGGACTCAACTCGGAGGTATCTGGCCATGCCATAGTACCGAAGTAAGTACTTACCACCCTGTACGTATTGTTTGGCCCCCAAGTGATCGGTTTCACAGCAGAACCGGGTATCATACATAGCTACCCCAAGCCTCGCTCGTTTCAGGTCAGGTGGATTATCCACATTCCCCAACTAGGTACTTACTATGACAATGTGTGTTACAGCTGGACGGGCTGTGCCTTGCTTGACGGACTCGACTTGTTTCAAGAAGACAGGGAAGGTTTGTTTAATACCATCATCTGAGCGTATGCTTCACACTTCTATGTTTCAAGTACCGTTCGATAATGAGACAGAATTCTCTGATGGCCCGGGTCGTGTCTATTGCCTTCTTTGGCTGGTAGGGATCTCGATGACCTTTGATATGTAGGAGGAAATGGCACTTTTATTTCAACGTCATGCTATTGATAAAATTATCAAGACTATTGAACCCCGCTCATGAGCTTTTGGTAGAAATCGGCTGTGCTGTGCAATGGCACACCGTAAAAGAAAAATGTCAAGCAAATATCAATATCTGGGCTAGTTCCAGTTTGCAAATTCTTTTCATCCGTCATGTCATCATTTCTGTATGATCTTTGACTCTAGTGGACCAAAAAGCCATTCCAGTTTTCCAGTGCATACGCAACACCGCTGGTGAAGAAGCTTAGCTCGTCTGGCCCTACGTTGGTGTCACACGCTAGTCTTTCGGAGAGTAGATTCTCGATCTTGGCCAGCAAGTCCTTGTTGTGACTTCTACCGGCTCTCGAGGGACGTTCAGAGGCGCCTTCTTCGTTAACGAGGCTGGCAAGTTCTCCAAAGTCCTCTTTGGCAACTATGTTGCGGAAAAGCCCAATGACGTGATTCAGCACATTGTCAAAATAGGTACCGCTGGCACTATCCAGGCCCAGGTACGGCGAGTCCAGACGACCGATGTAGAAGTCATTGGCCTGTTTGCGAAGGCGGGCTTTGTATTCGAGATCGCGAATCCCGTTGATACCATTCATGTAGGCAAGAAACAGCCTCTTGTCCAGATCGACGATGTCGCTGGTGTGCTCTTCAGGCAGCTGCTTGATCGACTCGAGCGTACTGCTGAGTTCGTCATCCTCGATGTCGTTGACGTCCAGTTCGTCAACTGACTCCTTGAACCGGAGCGTGCCAGATGCCAGTGCACGTTCCATTAGCTCGTGGCCAGTCAGCTCTGCTTCAGAGTCTTCATCGTCGTCCAGCGAATCTGGCGCATCGATATAGCGTATGTTCGTGTCAAATCGAACCATGGGTCCAAAAGAGATGAAAGATCCATCCAGGGATTCGGCATCGTCTTCGTCACATGAGTCTGACATTATATCAGATGCGTCGTCCCACCCGGAGACATGGTACATATCATCATCATCGTCATCACTGTCTTCGAATATCGCATCATAGTCGTATTCCGAGTTTTCCGATGCATAGCCCGACTCTGATTCCTCATCTTCTTCGATTTCGGAATACGGTCTTTTCAAGATGGGCTTCAGGAAGGAACCAAGAGACGGTTCGGTTGCAGTCACCGGGCCTGATACACCAGAGGTGTTCGAGGTGGTTTGCTTGGTCGACACGACAGAGACTTCGTCCGAGGCATAGCAACTGTCATGAGAGATCGATACTTCAAGTTGAGAGAACGTTGAAGAGAGAGACTCCCATGACTTTTTGTTCATGTTTTGAGGGCTCATTTTGGTAGAGGCCTTTTGCAGAATGATCTGGTCAACAAAGAATGCCAACAGCGGCGATGACCAAGAAAACCCAAAGCAGACTTGACAAAAGTTTTCCCACTCGCACTTGTAGCGACTGGGATGAAGAGAGGTCAATTGCCTTGGGCAAAAGTAGAAGAGTGGAGATTTTTGGATTTCAGAAAGTGGCTTCGAAGGCCTCCAAATGGTTTGAAGGAATCCATGGTGAAGCACAGGCGCAAAGGTAGTAGCCGCCTAGTGAGAGCCGAGAAGGCCCTTGACCAGAATAACCTCGCAAAACATTATGGATATCTGTAAATTCACTTCAAGTTGGGGGATTGTTTTGAGTCAAGACGCATGCGCGTTTGGTTGTTGGAAAGGTTCTTGGCCGAGATATACGGTTTAAGCCCTTTCTTTCCCTTGAAAACACGTTCGATTTCGATGGAGTGTCTGACGTGATACATATAGACTGTTGGGTCGTTTGTGAACTCGGTTGTTGAGTTGAATGAGAATGCGCAGTATTTGATGCTAGACAAATACCGCGACGCGTTGAGTAATGCTTGGGTAGTATCCGTCAACTCTGCGTGAGGATGACGGCGTTATGGGCTCTGTTCGGAACTTGGCTGGGTGCTTTGTTCGTAAAGAGGGGCAATAACCGATGGCCGATGCCCTGGCGCTATAATGTCATGCCCACTTTTCGTGGGGATACGAGTGGTGCAACGGGAGGAGACGAGGGGTAAGAAACAAAAATTCGTTGAGAGACAGTCCCTCAAAGGAAGTTCGAGTATGATAAGTCTCGACGACTGTCCGCCGAGAAGTGTCTAGAATGGATGAGAAATAGCACAGTAACCAGTGCTGGGGTGGAAGAAAGGGATGGGAACAAGGCGAACCTCGCGGGTGTCAGTCAGATTTCCGTCATCACCACATGACCTTGGCCTTGTTGCCTCCCTTTCCTTTCCTTTCCTTTCCGGCGCTGCCATCGGGCCGATCGCGGAAAGCTCAATTAGGTCTAGCTGTTGCGGCTGAGTCTCGCTATTTCCTCCAATCAGAGCTGGTTACTGCTCGGCTCGGAGTCGCGAGTAATTCCGTCCCGGAGTCTCTACGTGCCGCCGGTGAGTGTTTCTCATCATGGGTGTGGGCTGCTGTGTACTCTGAAGGTAGCATTGATTGTCGAACATGATCACTGCTGGAGCTGGCTTCTTCGCTTAGATTCTCTCCATGCTTCTGGGTTCTAATCCACATCTGGCTTCTTTCTCCACTCCAATTTCGGGCTGATGGTTTGCTTTTCTTTGAAAGAGAATCAGTCCTTGTCGAGGGGACAGCGGCACAGTGACTTCCCAAAAAGGAAATACGCGGCACTACCACTTGCCTTTGCTACAATGCCCACCATCTTCGTCCGACTTTCACAGTCGAGAATGACTTACAATTGATGCAGAGAATCTGTATTCCACACTTAGCATTACTCCATGCTCGGTTGTCTATGTTTAGGTTTTGGTATGCTTAATGCACTAAAAGAAGCTGGCCCTAGAAATTCTTCTGGGTGGCTTGCTCGACTCACTGTACCGCCAGAACGACGGTTTCGGCGGACCCCTGATAAGACACTTTCCAAAACACCACTTGCCTTCAACGTCTTTCGGAAGAGTGTGACCTTGTTCCGATCGCCTGTGCTTCGTAAGCCTAAGTATTACGAACCCCAGCTCCACCAGATGCTGAGGAATCTGGACAAAGAAAGGGCAACTTGGCCAGGGAAATGAGACGGCCTCGCTTCTAGGACGATATTATGCTGTACTAAAGTCTCCCCAGACTGGCGAATCAGGCTGTCTATCTTGAGACAAGGAACAAAGAACTCGCGATGAAACATCACACTTAGAGTTCCGAGCCCTCGCAAAGCCGAATCTACGATACGGACCGCTTATTCTTCAGCGTAGTCCAAAGCCAATGGGTACGGAGCTCAGCACGCTCACTGAAGGTGTAGGCCAGAGCTGAATGCGAAAAGCTACGCCCTCCCTCCCTCGCCAGGACTTCACCCGTAATGGGGGATAAGAATAGAAACTCGTGTTAAACGACGAGTTAATCTACAGATCTGAAGAGAAGAATTTTCTTTCTTTTTTCGAGCTAATGCTTAATGCAAAAAGCATACAGGAAGGGCTTTGATCCAGAATGCCAAATCCTTCTGTCCACGCATTGTTACGGGGGGTGTGCATTCTTCCTAGACCCAGCATTCCAATGTTCAGGCCAACCAGCTCACCAACGGTAGCTCATTGAGTACCCGAAGATCATTAGCTCCACCATGCGGGAAGAGCGTGGAGCAAAGGTTCGGTCGGGGTAATTTAGTGCAAATCATTGAGGCTGCTATCCTACGTATACGACTCAGGATGAGCCAAAGCAACCCAATGACGCTTACACTCCAGGTGTCAGTCAGCCCGTTGAGCCCCCTCTCCACGTCGTCCCTTGACGCGTCGAGCCGTCGAAGCCGGTCGACCTCCATTGTGACACTCATAGTTCGATCCAGCCTCGACATCGATTATCAAACAATGGCGAGGTCGGTGTCATTGGCTAAGCGCTCGCTGGTTCCTCTAAGACCCGCCCATATCCGCCCTGCTGATACCTCTGCACCCTGTTTCTGGTATAGTAAAGGTTGCATTCCCGCGGGTGGCCATCAGTGCTCCGAGCCCACTGGGTGAAGGGTGTCTGGCAGTGGATGGCACGAATCAGCCACCGACTTTGCACTCCTCCTGATTGGCGACAATGGCTTGTGGGAAAGGCATGGGCCGTTCTGCTCGAGCAATTGGGATGGGGTGGGCCATATCGAGGGGCTGCGTATTCCTTGATGGCACATTCCCTGCCTATCTTGCCCTTGTTGAGAGCTCTTGGAATGTGCACAGAATCCAGCGGAGAATTCAGAGGCTGGGGCCCATCGTAGCAATTCAAATAGGAGCCCTCTGTCTGTTGTTTGTTTGCTTTGTCTACTTTGCATTTTCTGCACTGTTTTCTTCGATTGTCAACTCGTCAAACTGTTCCAACACTCCCAGTGCATTCCATCATCACTTCGAGCCATCGTCATCACCGCGGCCATTTTGGACGGATACTCGGCTAGCTTAGCCGTCCCTTACTTTGCGTCAAGCTTTCCTCTGCATCAAGCTTCTGTGCTTCCGCGGCCTTCGTCGCCAGTCATATCTACTCGGCCCAAGTGTTCGTTGGGTCGACCTTTGACAGCTCCTCTGGTCGTCGCCGCAAACGGAAAGCGGCACCCCGTCTGGCACAATGTTCGCCCAGCAGTTCGACCATTCCTTGAATGATTTAGATTTATTTAATCAGTACGTCAATATGGACAACTCCAGTGTGGATGGCAACAAAGATGTTTCATTCCCTGGCGATCTTGACCAAATATTTCAGCTTGAGTCATTGTCCAGCGACTGTGGCGAGCACTCTCCGGCCATCTCCACATCAACAGCGCAACCCCATCAGCAAACAGCCCAAAACTGGAGCAAAGACTTCTGGTGTTTGTCCCAGAACGCGGACTCTTCTACCAGCCAAGGCCAAAATTTCTCTCTACAGGATACTGTTCACCCATCTGCCGTTTCTGAGCTGGGTATCAATTTTGAAGCTCCGCCGACAGCGTGCGCTCCAGAAACCCGCCCTTCTCCGTCAACTCCTCCAGCAACTCCTAGTCGTAAGACCACCAAGAGTGCTGTGACTACGCCCAAGGTGATCCGTCGTCATCGCGAACCTAATGATCGTCGTGGTCCGCTGCACAAGCAGAGCTTCTCTCCTGGCATAACACGCTCCTCTCAACCTCAACGGAACAGAATGGCGTATCAAGAAGCCTGGGCGCAGCGATTCAACAACTTCAGCTTTCGCAGCGCGGATGAACGCTTGCCTCTGTCCCCACCACCTTCCGATATCCTCGTTCAACAAGAGAATATGGCTGCAGACAACTCTGCTGCCCACCTGAACCGCACCGAATCACTACCCAAGGCATCAGCTGAAATGCCTCCCCAATATGACACCGGCATCTTCAACCAATCGCCCGCTATCTCCATGCCTTCTCCATCAACAGCTGCGCTAGCGGGGCAGCCCCCGAGATATTTAAGCCAGTCCAGCGGCTCGGGGTTGCCCACCTCAAGCCCCCCTTCGGCTGACGACATCTTCTCCTCCCCACATTCTTCAGGCCCTCAGTCCATGTCTTCCTGGCATTCCGACTCTCTTGGCTCTTCTGGGATTCCGTACAGCACCCCCGATCTGAGTGGACAAGATGGCCAAGCATGGTGGTCGCCAATGGCCTCGAGAGTCCCACAGCGACAGCCTTCGTATCAGCAGATGGTGGCGTCCCCAGCTGCACAGAGACCGATCCAGAACTCTGCAAGTCAGAGTGACATGCTGCAAGGGGGCCTTATGATTCAACTGGACCCGTCGTCATACGACCTTTCTAACACACATTCGTCATTCCCCTCGGCCGGCCTGCCTTCCGCTCCAAATGGTCATGAGAGCCGCGCCTACATGCAGCCCACTGCAGCACCAGTGGATTCATCGTCATTCGTCACCCCTCAAATTCCCCCTACCCACTCACGCTCTCCGTCGCTGTCTCCGGGCTCAGGCTCACCAAAGAGTGGAAGCATGATGCACAATGGTCACCGGAGGTCATTTCAGCGCCAGAGTATGAACCGAAAGCTTTCCTCCAATTCTATGAGCGCACCAAAACCAGTCAAGGCCCCCCACAGTTCATCAGGAAGTCCAAAGGGAGGCAACAAGGCCGTCACTGTATCCTTCGTGAATTTCACACAGAATGATTCCAAAAGGATCCTCACCGGTGTCGCACCCAGTGGCAGCTCCAAGACCAAGGCACGACGTGAGCAAGAAGCCCGCGCTCGACGCCGCGAAATTAGCGAAGCTGCCTTGCAAGCCGTCCGGAGTGCCGGCGGAGATGTTGAAGCTCTGGAGGCCATCCTATGCTAATATCATATGTAATAGTAATACTCACATGTCGAACCAGTGCATCGCTCGTTTGCCAGTATCCGTTTATTCGTCGTCATTTGTGTTCCGCGGCTAGCCAGTTTTTGAATGTTCGTTATACCATTCGAGAGTCTGTTGTTATTATTCTTTTATTTTTCTGTTTGTTTCAGTTCTCGATACAAGGCAACGGTCGTTTGGGTGTTCGTCTGATCATCACTTTTTCTTTTTGAGCCGAAAAGGATTTGGAGTTTGACTTTCATCAAAAGCGTTAGATTGGCGGGCATTCAGGTTCCATCAACCTCATACTAGTTGGATATAATATATACCACTAATATTGCATTCTTGATAATTGTGTTTGCACAGAAGCGATTGATCTGTATACCTGCAGCTAGGTGGCGACACAAAAGAAATCAAGCACTATGCTTTTTTGACATACCTTCACGTCCTACAGAAACGGCTTGAACAAGATTCGCCTAACGGCAACCTGGTAGAAAATGCCAATGAAAATAATGTACATAGTTCATTCATAATACAGTAATAGTTCGTAATATACAAGAGTTGGGGGTTACTTAAGCCAGAGCTCTAGATGGCCTAGTACCATGTGAGACATCCCAACCCGTCACTGATCACCAGAAAATGTGATGTCTCTCATCGACAGATACTCTGTTTCGCAGCTGTCTGTAATGTTGCTCCGACGACAACAACGAAACACAGCCAATCAGCTTCTCTCTCCGTATGTCTGGCGTGTTCCGCATTTCGGGAACGGACGGCAACCTGGCAAGGCAACCCCAGATATGCCTAGTTTAGAGGTGACGAGTCTGACATATGCGTTTCAGAATTGAAGCGAGAGAACGGCGACCCAAGACGGAGTATTCAAGCCAAGCTGCAATTCTCCACCTCGTTCACTCATCTCTTCGATGCAGTCGGGCTCCACGAATCAGGCTGCCACTTCTGACCCGGAGCGCCTGCCGCCGCCTTCGCCCAGGGGTCGTTCTTCTTCGCAGCCTCTGCAGTTGCCGTCTGCGTATCCTCCGAGGGACTCTTGTTTGCTTGGGCTACTGTCGCATCACTCGTGTTGGTGGCGGGGAGCGGTTGTTGTTGGGTTTTGGGCATATCCAGATATGATGGCTTGCTGGCCCAACGCTCATCGGCCAGACGGGCTAATTCCTTGATTTGCATTTGTCGGATGATATCTTGTTGTTGTTCTTGGATGGACGGAGGGTCTGCGCGGACGTAACGGAGCCATTGGTGCCATTGTGCTGTAGTTACCAGGGGTACGGTGTTAGCTGCGGCTGTTGGGGGTGTGCTTTGAGAGCCTGAGGGTGCCACTTACGGCTCACTTGGACATCGGCGAGGTGGGTTTTGGGATCGGTCTTGACGATGCGGCGGAAGCGGCCGGCGTTGAGTTGGTCCTTGAATTCCCAGAAGGTGTTTCCGTGTAGGTCGGTGCCTGAGGAAGAGATGTTTGTTAGGAGGTTTTCCGGGGAGCTATAGATTGAAGATGGCAGATGAGCTTACCGACGAGGAACGACCTGCGCCAGGGTAGGCGAAGGCCTTTCCACTTGAACCAAAGACTGTTAATCGGACTCATTGGAAGACCGAAGTAAGGATGGTGGTCGATCGGAGGCTATGCGATCTAGAGTGAGGCAGTGCAATGGTGGTGGAGTGGCGCGGAGAGAAGGGAAGATGTTCCGATCATCGAAATGATGAAGCCGAGATGAATTGAAGCGGCGATGATTGGGTGGTGATGGACACCCGAAAGCTCAGGCATACGGGACGTCATCGGTAAGATTGGGCGGTCACGGGGCGTCAAATACGGTATTGTTCTGGGCGTTTCTTTTCTATTTCGGGCTTCGAGTGTCCGATTTCCATTCCACGCCGCATTCCGTTCGCCCTTCAACTTTGGCTTCGTTGCTTTTGTTTTGTCTCTGCCTCTTCGGTCAATCTTCTGCATTGATCCCTCATAATCCCCCGGTGATCTGTCTTCTTCATCCCTTCCTCTTCTCTTCATCTAGACCCTGAATTGATCTTCCGGTTCATCCGCCCTCACATAAGCCTCCACCCCCCTCCTGAACCCCTGTGACGTACTGCCGGTTCGTCCCACCGGAAAGCCACTATAAACACCCACTCCCCCTTATTCTTTTTCGTATTATTTTGCGCCCAAGCTGCCTAACGGTCCTTTAAATTCGTCTGCATGTCCCAAACGCTCTGATTGAGACGGCTCGAACTACAAGATGGCCTCCGTCACCTCGCTTGACAAGGACTTGCGCAGTCTGCGCTTGTCCCGCTATACCCCGCAGGCAGCCGCGGAAGTCCGCGACTGGATTGAAGAAGTGTTACACGAAAAGCTCCCGCCAGGCGATCTCCTGGATGCTTTGAAAGATGGCGTTGCACTCTGCAGGTGAGAATAATGCGAATTTCCTTCAAAGACAGGGCCGTTCAAGAACACTAACAATATTGCAGGCTGGTCAACTTGGCCGTCTCCCCCGGCGTCAAGTACAAGCAGTCCTCGATGCCATTCGTGCAAATGGAGAACATCTCTCACTTCCTTCGCGCATGCCAAATGCAGCCCATCAGCCTCCCTCCGCACGATGTCTTCCTGACCGTCGATCTCTACGAAGCCAAGGACCCCGCACAAGTCCTACAATGTCTTACGTCTTTCAGTCGTCGGGCCAATGCTCTCCAGCCTAGCAAGTTCCCTCGCGCACTAGGTCCTCAAAGCAAGGCAGCCACTCTGAGCCCGCATGCCACCGGTTCCAGTCAAGGCGCTTATACCCCCACCAAGTCGAGTGTATCCGGTCACTCCAGCCCGGCAAGATCTCCGAAGCCAGTCAGCAGCTGGAGCAAGAAGTCTGATGAGTTTGTCACGGCCCCCGCCTGGAATATTCACCAGTACGGATACATGGGCGGTGCGAACCAGGGCAGCATGGGCGTTGCCTTTGGTGCTCGTCGGCAAATCACTACCGCCGCCCCGCGTGTCCCCAGTCTGGCAGAGAAAGAAAAGCGGAGAAAGGAGGAAGAAGAACGGCAAGTTTTGGAAAAGCAGGAAGCAGAGCGCCAGCGCCAGCAGGAGCGCGAAGCGGAAGAGGAGCGTGCTCGCATCGAGGAAGAGCGCCGCTGGGAGGAGGAAACCAACCGTCTAAGGGAGCAAGAGCGGCGTCAAGTCGAGGAGGAGCGCAAGCGCTGGGACGCGCAACAGCGCAAATGGGAAGAAGAGGAGCGTCAACGCCTACGTGAAGAAAAAGAAACGGAAGATAGGCTAGAACGCGAGCGACTGCAACGACGAGAGGCGCAAGACAGCCGTCTCAACGGACAGTTCCTCAGCCAGTATCAAGCCAGTCTACCAACAGCTCCCGTTCCCCCAGTCTCCAGCGAGAACCGCGAGAGACAACGAATCCGCGAACTCGAGCGCGAGTTAGAACGTGCCAAGGAGAGAGAACGCCAATACGAGCGTGAACGTCAAGACATCCAAGAACGGGCCACCAAATCGCCGCCTCGCAGCCCCCGGCCAGCCCAGCCCAGCTACGACCTATCTTCCCTCGAGCAAGAGCGTCGCATGCTACGCACGGAATGGCAAAAGCACCACGACGAGCCACTCACAGAATCAGACATCCCCCCGAGCATGCCTCCCCGACCCCTCCCAGAGCCCGTCATCTCCGCCGAGGACAAACCATCCACGCCCCCTCGCCCCTTGCCCGACCCCACCGGAGCGAAGCCCCCTATGCCTCCACGACCCCTCCCCGATCCCACAAGCTACACCCCTCCATCCCAAAGCCCCTACACGCAAGAGAGCCGCGTCGACCGCTTCCTCGCATCCAACCGCCCCCCTGTTGCCCCGAAGCCCGTCGCCCACCGGCCCCAAGACTACACCACCACATCGGAGGTAGACGCCGAGAATAGCCGTCGCGCCGCCGCTCAAGAGAAGACCAAGGCCGGTGGCTGGGCTTCCAAGTCCCTTCTGGAACGCGAGATGGAGCGCGAACGGGAACGTCAGCGCGAGTGGGAGGAAAACCAGCGCCAGACACAGGAGGCAGCAGCTAGGGCTGGGTCTTCTACTGCGGGCGCTAAGCGGCAGATTATTGGGCCGAGGCCACCTCCGTAAATATAAAGTGGAGTGTGGCCTTTTCATAGTTCGCCTTCTTTCTACCCCCTTTATCTATTTTGTCTGCCTGTCTGGTTTTAGTTCGTCTCCCCTGTGTTGTGAATATACCCTTTTCTTTTGCCTCCTTTTTTATCCCCCTCGCACCGCTTGGGGCAGTGGTGTGTGTGCAACTGCGAAGTTTGCTTGGTTTGCGTGGTCCAAAATATATTTCTGTTCGGGAAAAGAGAAAATTAAAATTAAAAGGAAATTAAATGTAAATAAATGAATAAGTAGTTTTCAGGTGATATTCGATAGACATTTCAAAGTTCAGAGTCAGTTTCATGTCAATTCCAACTAAAATGGGTATTTGTACTATCTATGCATTAAGAAAATGTAGCCGAAAGCCTGTCTCAAGACAGCATGAGAGTCGACGAGCGAAACAAAAACTATACCCAACCAAACAGGAAAAAAAAACAACATGACGCGCTTGCTTTTGATTCGCTCACTCCAATCACACACGCATGCAAATAGAAGAAAGAAAAAGAAGAAACAATTTAATACCTCAAGCATCATGTAGTAGTGGCATCACCCTCGAACGGCAGAATACAAAGCACGAGAAATTGCAACCGCTCCGCACTCTCCTCCAACCACGCACGCTCAATATCATCCGCCCACCTGTAAGCTTCTTGAACATGTTTCCGCGATTGGTATTCGGACCGGTCGAAACGACGGTTAACGCCCTTATGAACAGCTTCTCGCAGACTTTTTGTGATGCTTAGCATGCCGTTATCGGCGAGAAGAATGATCAGTGACTCCAGAATGATGGAGATTTTGGCGTTATCGGCTATGGATCTTGTGCTGGCCGCGTAAGGCAGGAAACATTGTTCCAGCTTGGCTTGGCTGAGATATTCCTCGTCGGTGTCGGGGGCGGCGGTCTCGCGCATGCGAAAGAGGAGGAATTCGCAGAGGGTGGTTTTGGCAGGGCCGGAGAGGTAGGGGAGGGTGGAGGGGCTGATGAAGGCTTGGAAGACAGGGAGGGGCAGGTGGCGGATGTTTTCGGCGTAGAGGTGGTAGAGGTCTTCGAGGGGGATGAAGTCGTCGGGGAGGTATTGGGAGACGGTGGATAGGAGTTGTAGGAGTCGTTGTCGGAGACCGAGCGAGCGCATGCCTCCGTAGAAGCCGACGTCGCCGTGCATGTAGGGAATGTGTCTTGTGGGGAGCTCTTCAATGGGCACTCGAGCGCCAGTGCTTGGGGCAGAGCCGCCGTATGGGCCGGGTGGTGTATTGATGCCGTTGGGGCCTATGGCGAGTGATTTGCCTCTGCGCTTGGGTTGGGGTGCCCGTCGAGGGGTGGGTTTTTCTCGAGAGCGGTTGGACCTGTTGGTGGTTGAAACAGACGAATATACTTCCTCGTCGGAATTGGCGTCCGCCTCGTTGATATCCTTGCTTTCATCGTCATAGTCTCCATCCTCGATCGGATCATCGTCCGTGAGGTAGTCGCCGAACTCGTTCTCATCGATGTTGACCTGCGCGCTGCGTTTTCTGCTGGTGGAGGTGTGAGCTTTTGCGTATTTGAGTTCATTGTCGAACACTTCGCGAAACTCGTTGCGAGAGGTCGAGCCACCGTCTGCAAAGATGGAGCGAACAATGCGCCGGTATGGACCGTACGTGGTGCTAGCTCCGTGGATGTAACGGAATATGAGGCTTTCTCTGAGAATCTGGAGGGCTGGGTCATCGTCATGATGCGTTTTCTTCCTTCGGGACTTCTTCGGGGAGGGCGGTGGTCCCTGTTCACTAATGGTGTTTCCGGTGTGAGCCTCCTTATACTGTCGAAACCGTTCGTTCCAATCACTCTCTAGAATATCACACATGTATTCAAGCCAGACCTGCCACCACGTCCAGCGGGGACGATGGCGAACAGAACAGTTGAACGCCCAGCCAACGACATGCCAAAAGTCTTCTGCATTGGACCACAGGGAAAGCGACTGGCCGAGATCTAAGTTCAAGGGTTTCGTATCATCGGAAGATAGGTCTGAGGGTGGGGGAATGCTCTCTGCCACGGGACGTCGTCTTGTATGGCGGGAAAAATCGGGAAAGTTGAAAGAGAATGCGACGTCTAGCTTCGCAGAGATGGGTCCGACGAGGGTATTGGTCAGTCGAAGCAGACGTAATGCGGCCAGCGGTGCTTCTTCCTCCTCGGTTGTTTTTGCGCGCGTGGTGGTGGAGGGGTGTATGAGAAGAGTTGCGGCTAGGGCGAGTTGTTGGACGGGTGGAGTATATACTGGCGCTGAGGCGACGGTACCGGATGTGAGGATATTCAGTAGAAAATTGATAGCTTGTGTATCTAAACCAAGAGGTCAGATGTGGACAAAGAAGAAACAGCGATGCGGAGGGAACGGACAGAGTCTCTCTTCGAAGAAGATAGCTGCATGTTGAGCTAGCTCGAATGGAATGGGTTTGGCGGGTCGGTGAACAGGCAGATCCGCCTCTAGAGGTTCTGAAGCCGCCATAGAGGATGGGAGTGAAGGGAGAGGTAGAGAAACGAAGAGGATGTGGAGAAGATGAGGGAGAGATGGAGATGGAATGGAAATGGAGATGGCGGAGCGATAAAGAAAGCGACGCGATGCTTATCGATAACCCAGCCGGGGCAGCACGTGTGCCAGCCAATCAGAGGTGGTGCCTGACAATGCGGGCCACAATCAGGCAGTCCACACTGCGAGACCAATTCGCTTTGTTCCCTACTGTTTGCAACAGAGAAATGAAGGTTTGGCTGAAATGGACGGGATACACCAAGTATCCTGAGAGTTAGCCTGAAACTTCCTGAGCTGCGGAGAAATGATGATTGCTAAGTTATAGAATATGATGCATAATAATGATCCAACTTTCAGCAAATCAGGGTGCTGTAGTGTAGTGGTCATCATGAAACGTTGTGGTTTTCCGCAGCGCCGTTTCGACCTGGGTTCGATTCCCAGCAGCGCCAACAATTGGCGTTTGAGCCTGATCTGCTTTCTTTTTTTTCATTTTGTGCGATAGATACACTTTATTTATCGCTCTATTTCATTCGACACCATGTTCTTTGTCTACGGCGGCCACAATATAATAGCCCTTTTTCTGCTTTCATTTCCGATACTGTGCTACATTCATCAGTGTCTTTCTTCCATTGCTACATTCAAGCCACCGAATCTCTGTGGGCAGAGGGACCGAGATACGTAGTATTCCGCATGAACCGCCATCACCATATTAATATACAAGTTAGTATGCAGTCTCATCGGGGTGGTAGTAGTCTATACAGCAATTAATGAATATTAGGTAGTAGTACTATATGATTACTCCATCTATTAGTGGTACGAGTGGTTGGTGTGTCTAAATACCTTGCCGATTATATATAGAAGGGCTACACCACTACACCGAAGGATAGTGAAAAGCCATATGGCACCTAACCACGAAAACCAGGAGAGATAAGCAACGAGCATCTCATAGAGCTAAGTGGTCACTCTTAAAGTCATATGCACAAAAGTTAGCAAGTAACCTGTGGTGTAATTAGTGGCTGGCTACTCCCATGGATCCGACGCTTGGACGGAACACCGTAGGAGCACAAGTGCGATGAATTCCCAAGATACCCATTCGACAGAGAATCATACTATCCAGGAAGAATCCCAAGCCTACTTCTGGTCCACCATAGCACAAGACAGGGAGTTAGGTTCTGCAGCAGATTAGTCGTCCTAGCACAATTCGTGGATTAGCAAGCATGCTGGCTATCTTGCCCAGCACCACCCTGGAGAGCCACCGTCCATTAGGTCACATGGATGGAAAATATGACCAGACACCACTATCTGAACGGCAAGTCAGACAGAATCTTCTTGAAAAGACCGTGGGCAGTCCCACGGATCATCCACAGCCACTTTCCCAACCAGCCCGACTGTCCAGGAACATGAAGCTATACTCCTTTCGCTCGGGCCCGAACAAAGTTTGGCCGAAGTACCCACACCCCGTGCCACGAAAAGCTTGACCTGAGCCAATCGTTTGAGGATTCACGTTCCCAACATCATTCGTGTATCATCCTCTTTTTCGTTTGCCGAGTGTATGTACCCCCAAAATTGAATGCCTCTATAGCAGTAGTGGGGACAACATATGGCAGGGATGAATCCCCCGCGCCCCCTTGAAACCTGTGCGCAATGTCGGTGAAGTTTGGATGAACCTTCCAGTTGATGCCCCGCGTACCTCGTATGAAGTGGGTGATACAAGCCAGAAAGGTAGGGAGCTGCGCGCGAGCCGTCCGGTAGACGATCCGCATTCCCATTGGTGATCTCGGCAGTCGAACGGGATTCACCATCCCAGGGTGCACAATACGAAGTCACTGGAGCCAGATGACAGCAATTCACTGACAATATCCAGATAGAGATTGGCTTCAGAGTATGCTCGAGGTCCATACCACTAATTTAGCTGGTCCGAACGATGCTCCGTAGGCTGATTGGAGGGGCGTAGTTATCGGATGTCTCAGTTGAGACTCGACTCACCACCGCAAAAGACCCTGGCATTCCTGACGGGATTGATAGCTGACCCGCATATCCCACAGACCCAATAAGTAACCAATCTTTCTGCCATAGGCGCATTTCTCTCAACCAGCACGTGTGTTTGGGGTGGTTGATGAATGGATCTATGTCTCAATCTGGTCATGATAAGCGGACGGATACCCAATCCGATCGGCTCGTTGGACGTGGGGTGATAAACAAGATCGACCACGGTGAGGGTGAAAATCCTCCCTTCCCACCTCGCATCACCCCAATAGCAATCATATCATACCTGATGCATGTGTCATACACGGTATGGTAAGATGAAACCTGTAAAAAAATCCGTTTTACGGCGAGGGGTAAGATAGACGGATGTGGCTCGAAGAAAAAAAAAGCGGAAGAAACCCGCCAAGCGAGCGAATACTTATCAATCAGCGGATCTCGTATTTCGAGAGATGATCTGATTAAATAACTTTTTGTTGTCGCGTGTGTTTGTGTTGCGTTCATAGGGCCAATTTTCTTCCCTTCGTCGTCAACATGGGCAATAATCCGGTATTTGCTGTCACTGGTAGGTTCATCACAACATAACAGAGATATCCATGAGATGATGGGTTACTGATTCCAGTCAGTGTTCTTCATCTGCTTCCGAGAATGCCTGGAAACAAGCGTGGTTGTGTCTGTGCTGTTGGCTTTCTTGAAGCAGACTCTCGGGGATGACGGGGGCGATACGTATAAGCGACTCGTGAGACAGGTAAGTGTTCTCACAACCTCAACGTGCCATTATCGCCGAAATTCATTGCTAATGATTGTCTCTTCCACACCAGGTCTGGCTAGGATGCGCACTCGGACTATTCATCTGCCTCTGCGTTGGCGCAGGCATGATTGGCGCCTTCTACAGCCTAGGCACGGACACATTCTCTAGCACCGAAGATATCTGGGAGGGTGTTCTAGGAATCTTAGCATCTCTCATCATTGCGGTCATGGGAGCAGCCCTATTGCGAGTGTCAAAACTGCAGGAGAAATGGCGGGTTAAGCTCACCAAGGCTCTTCAGCACCACCGCAACACCAACACCTCGCGTAAGGGCCGTGTGAAGATGTGGCTCGAGAAATACGTCATGTTTATCTTGCCATTCATCACCGTACTTCGTGAAGGACTGGAGGCAGTGGTGTATGTTGGTGGTGTTGGATTGGGATTGCCGGCTACCTCTTTCCCTTTGGCGGTAGTGGTCGGTCTCTTTGCAGGATGCTTGGTCGGATATTTGATTTATCGGTAAGTGACCAGGTACCGTTACTCGCTAGATGACACAGACTAATGCAGACATCGCATGTCATAGAGGAGGCAGCGAATCGACCATGCAATTTTTCTTAATTGTCTCGACCTGCTTCCTTTACTTGGTAGCCGCGGGCTTATTCTCCCGCGGTGTATGGTACTTCCAAAACCACGCATGGAACAGTATAATTGGCGGGGATGCCTCCGAAACGGGATCAGGTCCTGGGTCTTATGACATCCGACAGAGCATCTGGCATGTTAACTGCTGCAACCCCGAGTTGGGAGGTGGCGGCGGATGGGGCATTTTCAACGCCTTGCTGGGATGGACCAACTCTGCCACATACGGATCCGTGATTGGCTATAATCTGTTCTGGCTCTGCGTGATGCTCGCCTATGCTGCGATGCTGTATCGGGAGCGGCGTGGTGCAATCCCCGTTATTGACCCGATGATTGCGCGCTACCAGGCGTTCAAGGCCCGGTTGATAGCAACCATTCTTCGTCGGCCACTGGAAGAAGAGAACGTTGAGCCGGTGGAGCAGTCGGGGATTTTTGCAGAGAGTGGCAAGGCGAAGGAGACTGGTGCCGGAGGGCCCATGTCTGTGAGGGAAGCGGAGGTTAGGGCTGCGTAGCGATAGACCGATGTGCTAGACTGCTAGTATAGACAACGGAGCGGGGGGTTTTCTCATTGAACCGCGTCATGCGGGTAATGTAAGTAGATTATAATTTGTAATCGCATCTGACGGCTTTATGGTTCCTTGACGAACCAAGAAAAATAATAGGCGCCAGTTCCGCAAAATGCAGAGCAAGACAGGATAATACTGCGTAGTAAATGAAAGTAGGGCAATCGTAATTAAATCATACAACACATTACCGCAAGAATACTAGCGTAATACCCGCTCTTGGCGCGACCGGGCCCAGCATCAGATAAGCCAACGCCCAGACAGTTTGATAAGATTGGGGGCACAAGACACCATCTGCTCGCTTGCAAATGTCGAGAAAAAGAAAAAATCTGTTCGACTGCCATCTTTAAGCCATTTCATTGTCGGAGATATTATAGCCAAGCCATGCCAAGTCGGCGTTCTCTACCTGAACTGGGGATCAAGCTATTGTGGGACTGCATGCTGGGTGGGACTCCGAGAAATCTACCAGTTCGGGCGATGGTGGAAAACCGTTCCTCACGTACAGCCCAGTATTCGGTAGTACTAGTCAATATCAGATGGGCTATCTGATTCGTCTCAAGCCTCGCATTCGTGGATGGCTCCTCCTCATTTTACCTTCATCCGGCGGCCCGACTGATTGATAAGTGGGATGATTGATCCATAGTATCTGGTAGTCATACTAGTCATTAATTCATCTTACCTTTTTTACTTTTCTCTCTTGTACTCCACCCTGCCAACTGAAACCCCCAAAGGGCCTCCAACCCAGGGTATATAGAACCCCCAACGTAGAACCTCCCCCCCTTCCCTATTTCTCTCTTTCTTTCCCTGTCCGAGCAATTCCACTCCCTCTCTCTCGTCCTTCATCGTCCGCCCTTTCATCCAGGATAGGACAGACAGACAAGACAAGATGGCCTTCCCCAGCCGTCTTCTCCCCTGGCTCGCCGCCACCATCTTCTTCTTCATCGCCCAATGCCAGGCCAAAACCGTGACCTATGATTGGAACGTCACCTGGGTGACCGCCAACCCTGACGGGCTGGCCGATCGCCAAGTCGTCGGCATCAACAATCAATGGCCCCTGCCCATCATCGAGGTCGACAAGGGCGACCGCCTCGTAGTAAACATGCACAATGGACTCGGCGACAAGAGCGCCTCCATCCACTTTCACGGCATGTACCAAACCAACACCACGGAAATGGACGGCCCATCCATGTTGACCCAATGCCCCGTGCCGCCGGGCAGCTCCATCACGTACAACTTCACCGTCAACCAGAACGGCACGTACTGGTACCACTGCCACACCGACTACTGCTACCCAGACGGCTACCGTCAGGCCCTCATCGTGCACGACAACTCCTCCTACTTCGCCGACAAGTACGACGAGGACCTCACCATCACCATGACAGACTGGTACCATGAACTGACCGAGACCATCGCCCCGACCTTCATCACCGTCGACAACCCCACCGGCGCTGAGCCCATCCCAGACTCCTTCCTCTTCAACGACACCCTCAACACCAAAATCCCCGTTGAAGCAGGAAAAACCTACCTCTTCCGTCTCATCAACATCGGCGCCTTCGTCGCCCAGTACTTCTACATAGAAGACCACACCATGCGCATCGTCGAAGTCGACGGCATCTACACCGACGAGGCCGAAGCAGACATCCTCTACATCTCCGCCGCACAGCGCTACACCGTCCTAGTGACGATGAAGAACTCCACGGAGAAGAACTACCCCATCGTCATGGTCGCCGACTCCCAACTGCTCGACACCATCCCCTCAGACCTACAACTCAACCAGACCAACTGGCTCGAGTACAACTCCAGCGCCGCCTTCGAGCAAGCCGTCATGACCGTCTCCGACTGCTCAGACCTCAACCCCTACGACGACATGGGCCTTGTCCCCCATGACAGAATGGCCCTTCTTGAGAACCCCGACATCTCCCTCGATCTCACTGTCACCATGCAAGTCCTCGACGACGGCGCCGACTACGCCTTCCTCAACGACATCTCCTACACCGCTCCCAAAGTCCCCGCCTTGTACACCGTCATGTCTGCGGGCGACCAGGCCACAGATGCCACAGTCTACGGCGACTACACGCACTCCGTCGTGCTGGAGAAGGACCAAATTGTCGAGATCATCCTCAACAACGGCGACACCGGTACCCACCCGTTCCATCTTCACGGTCATGCCTTCCAGATGATCGATCGGTACCCGCCGTATGGTCCTCATTTCTATGACTACGCCGACGGTGATCCCATCACCTACAATGCCTCGAACCACACCGCGTTCCCGGAGTACCCGCCCCGCAGAGATACCTTTGTGCTTCCGCCCCAGGGTTACTTCGTTGTGCGCTTCAAGGCCGATAACCCCGGTGTGTGGTTCTTCCACTGTCACATTGATTGGCACTTGGCGCAGGGTCTGGCTATGGTGTTCATTGAGGCCCCCTTGGCCATTCAGTCTAGTGTTACTATCCCCCAGCAGCATTATGAAGTTTGTGAGGCGGCGGGTATCGCTACGGCGGGTAATGCGGCCGGTAATACCGAGGATTATACAGATCTTACGGGCCAGAATAAGCAGGTTGCGTGGTTGCCTGGTGGGTTCACGGCTAGGGGTATTGTGGCCCTGGTGTTCTCGTGTGTGAGCGCCTTCTTGGGTATGGGCATGATTGCTTTCTATGGATTGTCGGATATTAAGAAGGGTGGGGGTCAGGTGCAGACTAGGAGGGAGGAGGTGAGAGAGCATGAGGATTAGTTGTTTTACTTATATTTTTTTTGTTTTGTTTGGATAAGGGGGTTTGAAGAAGATGCTCTGGTTTGCATCAGATACCCGATGAATTAGATAGGATATAAAAGTATGTAATGTATTAGAAGTGTAAGGACTCTTGACTTATCGTCATCTTCGTAACTCGTAAGTCCCACAAGATGGGCATAGAATAATTATCTAAGAGGGAAAGGGTTATCCAGGTTCCGCACATGGCGGGATAGTGGTATGCATGGCCAGCATGAATCGTATCAATATAAGGAAGTCGGACTGCCTCCCCACCCCTATGCCATCGATAGAAGCCAGCCGACGATATACTCATCGCCGTGTCTTGTAGTAGGTGGTCTGGCCAACCCTTACTGCCCGGTTTGATTTGTCTTTCTGGGAAAAGTGGACTCCTGGGCTACTAGATTGCCCGGCAATTCACCTAACGGTAACCGAGATGTTGGTTTTTGTCTTGCCCGAAATATTTCCCGTCTGCTGCCAGAGCTTTTTGGAGGCGACTCAAAGTCAATGATCACGAGGCCGCCAGTCTCTTCGTTCCAAAGTATATTGCGCCATTCTGGATCGCTATGAATGACACCGCAAGCACTAATCTTTTCCAAGACCTCATTGCGCTGCTCTCGGAAAGAAGGGGCAGTCTGCTCAGTCATAACCTTGTTCGCTCTAATACCTGCCCAGCTTAAAACAAGCATATGCGCCATCAACTGGCCGTGGTACCAGTACCGAACGCGCGGAGCGAAATCCCCCCCGCATACTGGAACATGTGTGCCTTGAAGAGAGCGGAGATGATGGTAGGCTTTGATTTCTTGCCCCAGGCTTGGAAGCTGCTCGGCGCTAGTGGCCTTTAGAACCACAGTGTATCCATGGGATAATAGGGTGGCTTTCAAGAGAAAACCAGTCCTACCGACGATGTGTAGCTGCTCGAAACCAATTTCCCGATCGCGCGATAATTGATCAGACAGGAGACGCGTCAAATCACGAGCGTTGATGCTGTGGACTAGATGTCCGTGTCTTTTGACGTTCGGACATTGAGGATCCAGAGGGCCTTTCTTAGCCAAACCACGCAGGCATTTCATCGTGCAATACTGGTCTTGAATCGCGTTCTTTGGATTTTCGGCTCCTTTCAGCCTGCACCCGCTAGCTTCCTGGGATTCTCGCCCTCGTCCTCCTCCTCGTCGTCGTCCTCGCCCCCGCCCCCGCCCTCGGTCGCCTCGAGCCCCTCTAGAGGCGTTATTAGACGGCGGAGAAGGGGAAGGCGGGCTTGTAGGAGCTCCTGCTTCGTCTCCATGCTCTTCCTGATAGTCAGCTCCTTTGCTTTTCCGTGACGGCTGGAAATCAGGCTGACAACGCCGTCGTAGCATATACGGAGACCGATCCACGGGTTTCCACGACGGGGGTTTATATTCGGAAGATGGTGGCTCTTTGCGGACCGATTCCGGTATCTGTTTCAAGATATCCAGATATTCGACTTCCCACGTGTCCAAATGATCGGCTGCATCGTACCACGCCTGAGATGGAGGATCAGCTTGCACGGCATTGAGCGTGAAGGCCAGAACCTGAGCAACTGCTGTTCGGTGTAGACGAAGCTCATCCTCGTCAGTGACATCACGGTTGGGGACGAGCAAATAGTATTGCACAACCGATGGATCTTCGGTGATGCGAAGGCAGATGAAGGCCTCCCCGGTGCAGATATAGCCGTGTTGGACTCCCACGTCTACCATGTATGAGAAAAGCTGGGTGATTACTGCTGCTACGAGCCGAGTAGCATGGTATTCGAAGCTATCTCCATCCGCGTTAATGACATCTTTCTCCAAGTCCATCTCGTGGAGGCCGGCGAGTATTTCAGCCAGCGATAGCTTATGTGGGGCTTTGTGTTCGACAGCGTACACGGGCACTCGTTGATCGTCTGATATTACATAGACGCAGAACTGGTCAGCACGACGGTTGCGTCGTCTCCGGTGGATCGGCCGCTGTGCACTTCGTGACCTGCCTCGGGTAGAAGGTGCGCGTTGTACCGATTCTGCTATTCGAAGCTGTTGCATTGACGTTTCGAGTGGAGAGGTCATGTCATCGGCATTGTTATGGTCCTCGAAACTAATATGTCCATGGAGTTTGAAGCGCCGACGAAGTCTGTCGTTGTTATGTATCTCTTTTAGAATTGAACGTACGAATCTATCCACAGTGTCGCGTTGGAAGTATTCAAGTTGAAGTTCGGACCTTACTGGTAGAATGTCTTGCCGAATGAAATCCAGTTGATGCTTGGACGCGAAAGCGCGATGCGTGGAAAAACCGGGGCCTTCATTATCGAATGTTTCCCAGATGGTCTCCTGAGAGGCAGGAAATACTTCCCAAGGTACTAAGCGTTTAGGCCGGATTCTACTGACAGGGTTCGTTGGGTCACCCTGGGTTGTTAAAGTGGCATCTGCCTCAACACGTATAGCAAGAGAAAGCTCATGACATCCTTCGAGAAGACCAAGAAGGGTGCTTGGTTCGACTCGCTGCTCTGCCTGACTGATTCGCTGTTCTGCCTGAATTATTCGCTGCTCTGCCTGGCGGAGTCTTTCCAACAATGTGTTCACATCATGCTCCATGGCGCGAGCAAGTAAATATATGGTTTGTTGGTTGTAAATAGCAGGTAGTAGTATCTATCCCTTTCGGGGGCGACAAGAACTTGCGGTACTGCTGGCTAATTGTTGATAGAACGTGGGACTGTGAAAGAAAGAAACAAACATTTGTTTCGGTCCACTTACAACCTGCAGTATGGAAGAGAAAAGCCACAAAGGGCAGCACAAGTGATTATTATCGTCCTCTGGAGATGAGATGGAGTGGGTTAGTTATAGTAAGAACAAAGTCTCCACCTGGGGGGGCTCAGGTTCTTTTATAGGAGACCGCTTTCCCCGTTCTGCTGTGAACCAACTGTGCAGCTTTAGGCGCCTTGGCACATACATCTAGACTATCTTACCCTTACTCACGACAGTGTGACTGTTGGGATATTCATCAATCATAGATCACTTCTCCATCATCTTCATTGGAGTTACAGACCCAGCAGATTGCCCCAAGACCCATGTGGCCTGCTAATCTAGTCTTCATTCAAATTGGGCACGAAATGCATTCATTCACTCTGATCTTCCGATTTTGCTGGGATCACTACTTGACACTTCATGTAACAGTTCCTATCAAGTTTTGATCAGCTGCATCATGGCAGTGTAACCGTGGAGTGCACAGATTGCGTACTGTCCAGTTGTTTGGCGGGTTACCCCCCCAAAGGAAACATTACACACTAAATGGGTTTCTTCAATCATATCACAGTAGATCGTCAGAAGGGAAGGGAGGCCTCGATGGACGAGTAAACAATTTGGATAACTCTTGCCATTGGACATGGCTGTATTGCTCGATGAGTTGCTGGGACCCTAGTATTCACCGTGGGACTCTTACTCTGATTGAGGATTGCTGATCTCTTTCAGGGGAGATAACAGCAGGCCAAGGGACAGAAGTCTGTCTGACAAACCACTTCACTGTTGTTTGATGGGATTGTGGAGTACGATATGTATACCAGTATCATAGTAGGTTATCTCAGCTGTTCCCAAGGCTGTGGGGTCGCGTAGGTAGAGTTGCATATTGCCAGCCGGATTCGAGTCTAATCAGAGGCTATAAATTACTCCGCTAAGATCACGCCATCAATGCCGGACTGCTGCCTACGGACAGCTACACCAGGTCTACAGGTAATACCACAGCATAAGGAATATCTTCTTATATAGAGTGTAGTGATGAGAAGAGAGTCCAGAACCATCAGACCGGCCTCCCCTAATCTTCATCTATTCCGCATACCCCATTCACGCCAGCACCTTTCTATAAACCGAACCACATTTTCCCCCTTTCCTTGCCTCCTCCATTCTTTTCGTTTTCCGAAACAAGACTGACGAATCTGTCCGCCCATTGCATGCCGGGATACGAGACCCACGAAATCGAGCACAATAGAGAAGTTTGGGATAAAGCAAGACGTTAAAAGAACAGCGAGGCAAGGAAAGAGACAGCGACGCCAAGCGGAGAATATTATCAAGAACGAGAAGTAGTAGTTTAGTAGTGAGAAGCAATAACACACAGGTTAAGTGTAAGGGAATGAGAGCAAGTAGATAAAGCCAAAAAGGAAACGGAAAGGAAAGAGGAAGAGAGAGAGCGACTACTCTTCGGGTATATCAGAGAAGAGACCTATTCGCAGACGGTGCGACTAATCAAAGCAGTTAGCAAGTGACTCACCCACCACATAAAGCAAGGACAGCACATACAAACGGCAATTTCGGAATGACAACTCCTAGGGTTGCAAGGAAATTGATGGTGAAATACGTCAAGTCGTAGTGGGTATAATGTGTGCTAAGGAGGAAGAGACAAATGGGTACGCAGAGGAGGAACTTCTTCGTGGGGGTATACTGGTCTCCATTGTCGATCTGCTCCCACATATTGAGGTTGTCGTACGCGCCGGCGTTGAATTCAAAAGGGATGCCCCGCACCCAGTGGAACATGAGGAAAGAACCGAACATGTAGCTGATGTTGGTGAGCGTCCATGAGGTCTCCTGCGAGACGCCGGGAATGATGTCGAACAAGATCTTGAGGGCGATAATGAGAACGAAGTGAATGGTCCAGGCTCCTAAAGGGTAGTACAAAGTGGTCAGCCACTGGGGGGTGTCATGAAAGTCATGGGGACATATGCTGGTGACAAGTCCCCGCCGGAACCTGAACCCCTCCTTCTGCAACGACGGAGTGGTGATGATGGGGGGAAATGGTGGAGATGGAGGTGGCCACTACTCACCCTTGGCGTTGACCCAGTTCGCATTCAAATTGGGCAGGGCAGCCTGGTCGCTGGTGTGCTCAATGGACTCGGGAGGCTCTTGGTAGATGATGCTACTCGACCGTCTCCTCCGTCCAGCTTTGCCCTGGGCCATGGTGGTCTCCGGGGTCAACCGGCGCGACGCAGCGTCGACGTCCGGGGGGAAGGAGATGGCACGGGGAACGATTAGGGAAGACACTTTGGCGGTATTGATCGGAGATCGAGCGAAGAGAAAGGAGGAATCAAGTGACAGGAATGAAGAGGAAATGGTCGTGAGAGAATGGCAGAGTGGTGAAAAGGACGCCGCGGGCGAGAGAACGAGAGAGCAAGCTGGCTGGAATACCGAGAGACTGGAGTGACTTCGACTGGGAGGCAATCTTGAAGACGATCGGCGGCGGTGTTGGTCACGGGAGCAGGTCTCCGTATTACCGGAACAGGGGGTAAGTTACCGCCGGGCCAAAGAATGGAGTTGGACCCTAAGATAATAAATTATCACGAAAGAAAAAAGCGAGTGGATGTCTTGCAGGATGAGAAAGGGAGAAGAAAAATCTCAAATGAAAGACAATGGAAGAGAAGAAGAAAAAAAGTCAAAAGGAAAAAAATAAAATAAAATAAAAAGAAGCCAGCAGTCCGACATCCCGAGGGGCAGCCGAGCAGATCCTCAACTTCAAACTAATTGTCGGCGTGGCTAAGAATAGCCGGGACGCTTGCTGCATCCCATCGTTCTAGATAGAGTCTAGACCACACCATCGCTGCACCAACCAAATGCCATTCCTGTCTGGGTTGATTCGAGACCTTAATTAATGATTATATTGCTATCTATGCTATCTATGAAGGGTTCTCTCCTATTCCATATTCCCTTTATTTCTTATCACGATCATGTGGAATCTGACTAGGAGTGTCTGACTCAGGATGAGACTGAAGTGGATAAACGCAACCTACGATCCTCTCGTTGTTAGCATCTACTAAGAGAATACTACGGTAAGTACTGGCTAAGAGCTTTTACTTAGGTTCGTCTAGTGTACACACCATCCAGCTGCAGTGACCAGATATCTACTGCTGAACAGCTTCAGAAGCGTGTAGTAACCATCTCAGTCTCAATGGCTGAATACTCCATTCTGGCATCATCCAATAAGATGATAAACCATCCAATTGAATTGTCCACGCCCTGACAATCACTCATAAAATATTCCGACTCCGTTAATCCCGGAGCAAAAAAGCAAATGAATCTCTTGGAAACTGAGAAGGTCGCGAACATCGGATCGTTTTACACTAATCACATGGCATTTGTCGCTTTGATCCAGGGTTTCCCTAAGAAATGCCAATAGCTGATGTCTGATCCCCTAAGATCCTCTCGGTCATCATATCTGAGTTACCAACGCATCTCTAGGATTCCTGATAGGCCATCTCTCGTTGAGAGGACCCATCTGGATTGGATATATCCAGCACAGCCATCCTTTACTCGCGTCATGACGAAGATCAACCACAATCAGCAATTCGTAGGAGTCCTAGGAATAGGCCGGCCGTCATCCAAGATCGAAATATCTCCAAAAATGCCACAATATGTGCCAATTCCAGACACTGCAGCTCATTACGTAGCTTGCCTCTCACCCCTCTCCACCATCAACTTGTACCAGACAGCCATCTGTCTAAAACAATGAACGTCAGAAGCAATAACAACGATGATGTGATGCTGATACTCGTTCGTGACGATACAATACCTCCACATGGCACAAGTGGCTCCTACCACCCGCCGTAAAATTCTCTCCGCGAAATCTGAAGGTAAATCCGAAACGAATCTTGCAGCAGCAAGCAAACGCCTCAACTTCCTGCTCCTTCCCCCTTCCAGTCCCGTCTTCTCCCAGGATGCCCGATTCTCCATCCGACGACAACGATTCCAGAACCGCCGCAGTCGGCCCCCGCGCTCAGACAACCGGCTCCCGCCACTCCTCGCGTCAGAGCTCCCACGATCCCAACCCGAACCCGCGGAAAAGGCGTCGCCGCAGTCGCTCCGCCGACGTTCGCAATGTCCGCGACTTTGTCCCCCAAGGCGCTACCTTTAGTGCAGCGGGACTTGGTGTCGATGTAGACGCTACCTCCTCTTCCGGTTCCGACAGTGACGACGGGTCGTCCGACGGTGGTGATGATGATGATGATGCGCAGACCGAGTCCGCGCCCGCGCCGCCGGCGAGCTGGAATAAGGGCAGCAAGAGTGCGATTCGGACATCGCTTCGCAGTCGCGCGAAGCCAGAGGAGAGCAAACCTACGTCACAGTTCGACTCTGTCAATGACAAATTCTGGCGCAGTCGCAGTGAATCTGTCTCGTCCCAAGGCGAAAACGAAACGGAAGCATCAAAGCCCGCCCAAGTTGATGGTATTGAAGAGGGTGAAGTGAATGAGGAGGAGGCTTCAGACGAGTCCAGCCAGATGCAGCTCTCCGGCGACTCCGACGACTCGGAGTCTTTGGGATCGGAAGCAGACGATTCAATCTTGCTGAATATCGGGTCACGGAACGGCCAAAGTCTCGGTCAGGACCAGGATGGCTTGATAACCCCAGACGGCGACGACGACTACGACCCCGAGGCATTACCAGTATCCAACGGTACATCTACCAACGGGCAGACCTCCACAAACCAATCCAAGGAGGACGCGCTCCTCCGCTTCTCGAAGAAATACCCGACCGCCCCCTCTACCCTCGCCGATCTCGACCGCGAAGACATGGACATCCAAGCCAAATACCGCTTCTACGACCGCGACGTCAACGCCATCGACCTCCAACTCCCCATCGCCTGCACAGAATGTCTACTCGAGGGCCACCTCGCAGAAGTTTGCCCGTCCCGAGAGGTAACGCTCACCCCTTCCCCATCATCCCCACAACCACTAACTAATCAAACCATTCTAGTGCATACACTGCGGCGCCTGGAACCAGCACCAAAGCAGCTTCTGCCCGACCTGGCGCCGGTGCCAGCGGTGTCGCGCGCGCGGCCATGACGACGACAACTGCCCGTCGGCACTGAAAGGCTCCTCCAGCGAATTCCCCTGCGAACTATGCGGCTCGACCACCCACATCGAAGAAGACTGCGACCTGATGTGGAAGCTCACTACTACCCGCCCGGACTCCGAACCCGTCCTCGTCTCCCTCTCCTGCGCCCACTGCACCAGCAACCGCCACCTCATCGGCGACTGTCCCTCCCTCCCATCCACCCGAACCCTACTCTCCTCATCCTGGACCGTCCGCGGCATCGACCCTAACATGATCACCAACATCAACTCCGTCGTTAACCATCGACGGAACAACAACAGCAGCAATAGCAACAGCAATAATGGTAATAACCGAGGAGGTCTGAAGATCCGCGGCCGCGCCGACCACCGCCCGCCTTCCTCCGATAGCGACGACATGATGGCTCATCGACGTGCGCCTGTCCATCGCGGCGGCCGCGGCAATATCCGTATTGGAAGCGGCATCGGCAGAGGGAATAAGAATATCTCGGGTGGTAATGGGTATCGCGATAGATCTGATTTCGGCCCGTCAAGACAGCGCTCGATGTCGCCGAATCCTCGTTCCATGCGCGGGAGAGGTGGGAAGGATAGTTGGCAGGGCGGTGGTGGACGGGGGAAGTCGTCCGGTGGCGGTGGTGGTGGTAGTCGGCCGCCGTCGAGAGGTGGGAATCCCGGCCGTGGAGGAGGTCGTGGAGGGAAGAGAGGTGGTGGTGGTGGGGATGCGTATCGACCGTTACCGAGTGCGGCGAAAAAGGCGTGGGATAAGTATCGGTTGTGAGGGGGTGGGTTTTTATCGTTATGAACAGGTCGTTGAACCTGGCGTTTCCTGTGTGCGTATATATACCCCGAGGGTGGAACGATTGATGTTGCATGTTTCAAAAGTTGTGTGAGTTAGATCGTCGCTCATAGCTTAGAGCTCATTATATGTACAGATGAGATGATACTATAGATATCCAACGTGATGTGTATAGTATGACAGTAGTAGTAGTAGTAGTAGTAGTAGTAGTAGTCTATACGCCATTCTCCACGGCATTATCCGTAGACGTAGGGGTCTTGTCACCCCCGCGATGTCCCACGAACCCTTCATCTAGAATGCGAATCAACTCATCTAGTCGCTCGATACAGAGATCCGTATGCGCATGGTCCTTCAAATGTCCGTTATGGTCGTTGAGCAGAAGCACGGTCGCCGCGCCGGCGGTATGTCCAGCTGTCATGTCATCGAGAGAATCTCCAACCTGTACACAAAATTACAAAAAATCAGTCTGACATCTTCGACCTCGAGAGCTAGAAAAGATGGAATAGGATTACCATAATCAACCCCCCGGCCATCCCCCCCTCATCCTGCACCCCCCACTCCCTGGCAATATGCAATATCCCTGCTGGATCCGGCTTGGGCAACAAGCCCGGTGTTTCCCGTGTCACGATCGGGAGGAAGACGTGTGCGGGGAGATGGTTGTTGAGGAGGTTGAGGACGGGTGCTCTAAACGACATCCTCATTAGCATTTATACATACTACAACCAAGGCAACTTCCAAGACTAAGGCGTGGGGGGAGGGAGGTATACTCAAAATTCCGCGTACACAAAGCCCTCTTCACCCCCCTCTCTTCTAAGAAATCCATCAATTCGACTAAACCCGGTTGAGGCTGCTGGGATTCCATGGCGGTGCGCTCAATGGCTTTGATTTTGTTTGTGGCTTCGAGACGCGATTCGGGGGTGGGGAGACGGCTGATGTGATGTAGGATGTCGACTTTGGGGGGGATGTTGAGGGCTTGTCTAGATTATCTGTTTGTTGGTATGGGTTGGATTGTAGGGTGGGGGTGGAGGTGGGGGAAGTACCGCATTTCGGAGAACATGTGGTTTTGGGGGAGGCTGTATATATTTATGTTTAGCTATTGTTGGAATTGGTAGCTGAGAGGGTATAGGTATAGGTATACCATAATGTGCCGTCAACGTCGAAGACGATTCCGCGGAGTGGGGGTGCGGAGGAGGAAGAAGCAGAAGAGGGGAGGAGAGGAGCAAAGCGCCGTTGACGGAGAGAATAATTGTTTAGGGATGCCATGAGGGAACGGGAGATGCGTAGGGCTGGATTAGAGATGGACATTGACAGGGTATCAAGGCAAGGAGGAAGGAAGAAAAGAAGCAGAGGAATGTAGAGTGGAGAAGTGACGTTGAAGAAGGAAGTGGTTGATGGGCTGATAAGATGGAGTGGAGACTGGCATGCGGAGTTACTCAAGTTGGGTTCCCTTAATTACTAGTTTCGGTTCTATACTTCATGCTACTATAGACTCCATTCCATACAACAGTACTGCTGAACTGCATAATATCTGCACCATTTACATCAGAATAATTTCCACAAGATATTGTCAAGGTTTAACGGTTGCACCTTCCTCTGCACCATCAACATCAACTTCCACACTCATATCTCCGAGTCTGACACCTCACAATGATCTATCTCTGCTTCTCCCCTGCAGTCCTCATCCTTTTTTTCACCCTGCATCCAGTATAAATCTTCCTGCCGGCCACCATGTCAGCCAAGAAACACCATCCAGCTTCTCGCGATCCTATCCTCAATGCCATCAATATCCGCACCGTCCTCGCCCTCCTCGGCACTCTTCTCACCATCAAGCTCCTGAACCTGCTGGCATGCCTCACGGGGGTACGACGCACCTCGCCCCGATATCCCTACAGCTACGTCGGTCAAGCCATCAGTCGCAAAGAGCAGCACATCATCCAGATCCTACTTGAAATCATCCCCGAGAGCAGCACCTCGGTGAATACCAGTCTGCCCTCCAACGCAGGCTTCTCCAGCACCGACGATAGACCCACCACGGCCGACAGCGTCCCCTCCTCCAGTCTGGTCATCCCCCTCATGCCGGTGCCGTCGCGGGTCGTTCAACTGTCTCACAGCGCGCCTACCCGGAGCTTGGAGCTCGCTATTGCCGATAGAGACCGGGGGTATGATGACCATACGAGCACGCGCGCGAGCGTGCACTTCCTGGGCCACCAGCCTCTTCCTAGTGACTCGGTTTACTCGTCGATTGTCCGGAGGAGTCTATCGATTAGTGATCCGAACTCGAACTGTTCGAGCCCGCAGCAGGGTATGCTTCCGGGGGTGCGGTTCTCGGGTTTCATGTCGGATAGGTTGCGGTTTAGTATTCTGAGTCGGCCGTGGTCGATGGATAGTGTGTTGGCGGATGAGTCGCAGCCTGAGCAGGTGACATTGGACATGGCACAGCTGCAGCAGACGCGCACGGCAGATAGCTATCCGGGACCGTTTCCCATCAGTGATGGCTTGGAGCCGAGCTCGTTAGCCACGGCGCAGTGTGCCAACAATGGGGCCAGCGAGGCCACGGCGGTGCGGACCTCAGTGAGGCCGTTTACCGATGTGTAGCAAGCAGCTTTGGGGGAGGGATGGAAATGCAAGATGTTATTCCTCGATGGAGCTATCTGGAGCAGAAGATGCAGGTGCAGGTGCAGATGCAGATGCAGAAGCGCCAATAAAGACCATGCAGTATGTACTGTGTAATGCAAGTATGTAATCCAATCCAAATAATCAATCAATCATGCACATTCCTCCTCATGAATCGCATGATCCAAATACCCCATAGCCCTGACAAAGATCTTCGCACTATCCAACACCCGTTTCTTGCAATTCCCAACCGTATCCATCCCCATGAACGCCCCATACGCCCGATCAAACTCGGTATGTTTAAGAGCCTTCCAAATACCATGCACATCATCCGGCGGCAGGGGAATCTATCCCCGCAATCAGCAATCCCCTCTCCCGCCAGAAATAATATCTTAGAAAGGGTCAACTCACCATATTCGGATAACTCCACATAAACGTATACGACGCCGTACCCTCCCTCCTCCCCCTAACCCCATAATCCCCCACCCCACTAGGAATCGTCCCAATAGTATCCGCCAAAAACATTACCTTTTCATCCTTCCACCACAGCACCGAACTACCCGGGAAATGACCGCCTGTTTTGACTCCGATCACCCCGCTGCCGGGGAGGACTTCTACCTCTTGACCGTCCCAGAATATCTGCCTCTGCTTCTTTCCAGAATCATCATCATCTTCTTCTTCTTTACGCATAACCCACTCCCTATCCTCCCCGGACAAATACACCGGACAGTTAAACGCCTCCGCCCAGACTAAATGCGTGGCGTAGTAGTGCGGATGGGAAATGATGATCGCGGAGATACCGCCTAGTGCGTTGATGTTGGTGATGGTGTCGGTGTCGAGGTAGGGGATGCAGTCCCAGAGGATGTTGCCGTGGGGGGTGAGGAGGAGGAAGGCGCGTTGGCCGATGCAGTGTTTTGGGGTGGTGTGGAGGGTGTAGATCTTGTTGGAGTTGGGGTGGGAGGGGAGCGGGGCGAGGATGTTCTTTAGTTGGGGTTCGTGGGTGGGGGCGCGAAGGGCGCGGAGGGTTGTGTAGTCTTGTCTGTTGGTTTTTATTGTATGGTGGGTTAGTTATGTTGTGTGGTAGTTTGTGGGTGGTAGTGGTGGTGAGTATGGATGTGTATAGGGATAGAGTGGGGGTGTATGTAGTGTATTCAAGAATGGGGCATAGGGATATACCCAGTTGGAGGGAGATATTGACGGGGATCATCGCAAATAGGACATGGAGTTGGCGGCGTGGGAGTTGAGAACTGGGTGCCGCAGGTGGTGCAGATGGGGAGGTCGAGGGGGTCAATAATAGTATCACTGGTCATGATGATAATAATATTGTATCTGTATCTGGTAGTAGTTATTTGACAATGTAGAGATACAAAATCGAGACATCCATCAAAAGGGAGATATGCACTGCTTAAATGTATGGAAGAACATCAGCTGTTCTCCGCATTGACCCCGCATGTACTGGAGCCATGGATCGCCGAGCTGAACCTCAGCTGAACTGCTGCTGGTCTGCAGCTGAACTGATAAGCTGCAAACCAGGGCTCGACTTAGGCACAATGATGTCAACACTATCTGAATCTTAGTAAAAAGGTGAAAACTTTTGCATTCCATCCATCGCATGGCATACAGCCCATCCATTATGCACTAATCGAGAAAAATATGCTGCAAGAAGGGAATCATATAGCACAAAAATGCAAAAGTCGGTACAAAAGTAACAATACTAGTCGACACATCCCCCCTTTCGGCCCATACAACCATCCATTTCATGCACGCTTGCTATCGCTGCGCGGGTCATAAGTCGTGAACATAACAATTCGTATAACAGGTTCAAATCGAAAAGAAAAGATGACGAGAGGAGAAAAAATAATATTGGGTATCAAACGTCTGTCGCGTCAATAGTCATGGTCGGCATCCACCTGCTCCGGACTGGCGCGATACTGGCTTCGCTGCCGCCGCGCAGGGCTGAATTGGCTGCCCGACGTTAGGGGACGAGGCCCCGTGGGTTTCCGGGGAGGCGGTGTGCTACGGGGAGAGCGCATGATCGAACTCTACAGAGATATGGTCAGCATCATGCGAATAAAACGTCCCTTCCGGGTATGATCACTAACCCGCGAAGCAACTCGTTCCATGTACGATCGCTCATCGTCTTCCTTGACTTTGGGCGGCCGCTCCGGGATCAGTGGTCCCTCATCCTTGATCTTAGGCGGACGAGGAGGCCCCGTGTGCCGCGAGCTCGCTTCCGAGTAGCCCGCGTCCGAGATGGGCGAAAGACGACTGGCGCCGCTGTAGCGCGGGTTGGCGTTCACGCCAGACAAGCTGGGATTGGACCCCCACTGGTCCGAAGGTGCGCCCGCTGGCACGCCGTAGACCTGCGCTTGCGTTTCCAGTTGGTTTTGGTATCGCCCAGACGGGCCCTGGCGAGGCTGGGGATGGTGAAGATCGAGACTGCCCCGGTGAGCCCGGTACTTCGGCGCCTCTGACGCTTGTCCCGATGCTTGAGACGGAACAAGAGGGGACGGCGGCCGATTCTCCTGTTGCGGGTCTTCCAGAGTGTACGTCGAGCGCAGTCGGTCTTCGCCCTGGGGATCATAGTAGTCCGGCTTGTATGGTCCTGGTGCAGCCTCGGATCCAGAGCGCGAGGTATCGAAAGACGCTCTCTCCTTGCTGCGGCCAGGCTGAATGCTGTTACGGATGTTGTCTCCCATCGAAGACGCCGTGGTCTTGGACCAACGGGAGATCTTGGGAAAGAATGAAGAGCTGCTCGATTTGTGCTTCTTGGCCTTCTCCGTCGTCTTCGGAGTCGCCTCGTTACTGAGGGCACCCGAAGCCATAGGCTCACGAGGGGGTGTTGACACAGGAGCGGAGCCAGCCCGGCCCTGGCGGTTGTTGGCCGTCTCCTGCGAAGGCATGGTTGGGCTCGGGAACTCCGCCTGCTCATCTATGTCTTCATCCAGTTCCGGCACCGTACTGACGCGGTTTTCCATGCCCCTCCGCAGTCCATTACCCACGAGTGGTTCCAGAACAGGCTGGGAAGAGGTGGAAAGGTACTCCGACTGGTTTCCGGGCGATGAAGTCCCAGCATGGCCCTCCGGCTCATAGCCCTCTGGATCCACACTGGCGGCCCGGTTGCCTCCCCGCATGTACCGGTCATCCTGACCGTAGCGTAGAGCCTCGACTTCATCGAGGAGCTGTTCCAACATATCCTCAATTCGGGTGAGGTCGTTGGAGTTCTTGAGACTCAGGCCTTTGAGTGCTCGCTTGAATATATTCTTCCGCTTCGAACGCAGTTCATCACCGTCGTCAATAGGCACCTGGCGAGCACTGCGCGTGCTAGCTGGCTGGGGGCGCGGCCCACCAAGAGCCCGATAGGTCCGCTCGTGCTGTCGGTCACTAGCTTCCATGAGCATCCCGTCCTGTAGGGCAATGAACTTCTTCATCTCCTCGAATGAATTGCGCATTTCTGCAGCGCTTCGAACAAGAGTCACGAGAATCTCCGTGTCCCTGGCATTCCGTTGGGCATCGCGAACCGTGAGCTGTTCAATTAAGTCAGCAGTGATACTTTCAAGCAAGATGATATGTTTACTAACATGGTCCATGAGTGCAACAATGTCCTTGGACTGAATTCGATCAATTCCTTTCCCAGTTGCACTGTCATACAGAGGTGAGCCAACTCCTTGAGAGTAGCCACTCAATTGCCGCTGGTGACCAGGCATAAAGTGGTCTTCCCCACCAAGGGGACTGTCAAACAGACCCATTCCATTTGTGTCGATTCCAGCAATACCCTTGCTGAGTGGCTCGGGGGTTTCAACACTCGGGGAGCGAGGGTTCGCGGCCGACACATACCCTTCGTCTTTGGCACCAAGCGGCGTGCCGAGCATCTGGCCTCCGTGGTACTGCTGTTCATAGTAGTCGTTCGCACCGTAGTCATCCTCCGGGTAATAGTCCTGGCCATAGTGGGAGGGCTCAACTGACCCCAGGCCCAAGCCAGCACTTGCACCAGCTCCAGTCTTGTCAAATAGGGGCGACGGAGCGTCTTTGGAAGGGGTGCGGTTGAACGACCAGCTGTTTTCGTGGGCCGCGGGACCTTGAATGATGGAAGGATTGGTATTGATTTCCGATTCTGAATCAGGACTCCGGTCGCCTTCATGCGGCATTGGGCTACTGTCGAGGTCGCCAGCGAACAAAGGCGCCGGCTCATTCGGGTAGTGGTCGTCCAGCGACTGGGTGACACTCTGGGGCGGCGACGTAGCACCCATGCGTCTAGGGAACGAGGTCGCGTCGGGGCTGGAAACCTCCTCGCGCTGCTTTAGAGGGCTTCCTCGGTGAGATTCGTGCTCTGCCGGCTCATGCTGCTCATGCTGCTCCAGAGGCTCCGGCTCCCAATCCTCCTCCTCTTGCTCCGGGATACCAGCCATGGAGCGGTTCGCTCCAGACTGGCTGGACTTGGTGTCCAGGATCGTGGGTTCGAGGACAGAGGCCACCGCCGATTCAACAGCCATCGGATGTACGAATCGGGGGTTGGCAGCAAGGCCTTCAGCTACCGGTCGGCCCTGATCTTCCTGATCGTGGTGATCAAGCTCGCTGTCATCGGTGTACCCGGTCATGCGTTTACCCACGGTGCTCTGCGTCTCAGTTTCTGCTAGCGAATGCTGGTCTTCATCATCGTCGGAATATTCCTCCCAGTGTCTTTCCTCTCTGGGGGACGGTCGGGGGGTCTCCTCGTAGCCGAGCTCGGGGCCAGGTTCCTGTCGACGGCGTAGGGACTCCGTCTGGCTCGTGATGCTGAGGCCTTCTGGACGGGTAGATCTTGCAAAATCCGTACTGGGCGCAGACGAAAGAGAGTCAATCGAGAGACGCGGCTCCAATTCTCGTTCATCTTCGGAGTAATCGTACCTATCATAATGGGTCAAGTCCCGCTTGACCGGAGATTGGCTCTCATTGCTGGCCACGCTCTGTATCGGACTAAGAGTGCGCCGACGGCTCGCCAGATCACTGTAGTCGAGGTCATGATTCTCGGAGTGGGAGTCGAGCAAATTAGCGGCAGCGGCAGCGGCGATAGCGCCTGCGGCGGCATCCCCGACGGGCGACCGACTCGAGGGGCTATGCATCGACAAGTCGTGGCTGGACAAGTTGCTGTGCTTGAGCTTCAGCTCATGCCGCACGTCCAGAGGCGTCCTATTTGGCGTGCGAGGTGCAGGTGACAACGGTGCTGGCGAGAGAGACTGGAAAGGGGAGCCGCGGAAGTCTTCATGGAATTTGGTGTCTCCGTACGGTGCTGCTGGTTCGGCGGTCTGCTCGGAGAGAAGGGAAGCTCTGGTGAGGTCGGATTCAATTGCACTGCGCAGTGGCATGGGGGCGACATTGTGTTTCTGGAAGACTAGTTCGGTCTCGTTAATACTGCCGGTGCGGCTTCGGGCCCCACTGCTCTTTCTTCTTCCCTCGCTTTTTCCGAGGCTGGACCGTGAGTCGTGATGCTGGAGGGCTGCAGCGGTTAGGGCCGTCCCCACGAGTGCAGCCTTTTCTGCGTCACGCAGTCCTTTGCTCTTTTGTCGACGGAGCTTTTCTTGCTCCGTCAATTCGGGACGGTTAGCCCATCTGATGTAACCGAGATCCTGGCTTCTTTCGCTTCTGCCATGGCTTCGTTCGCTGTCCTTGCTGGATCTTCGTTCTTTTTGGGATGGGACGGAGTCGCCAGAAAGGACGATGCCCTCATCGCGACTATCCTTATTCAGGACGACCTTGGGCTTTCGGACATCAGGGGCACTTGCGTGTTTGGAAAGTCGCCTGCCCAGCTCGTCCCGAGAGGGCGTGCTGGCTGATGAATGTGAGGTGTTCATGTCGCGTTCAAATTTGGACGTGTTGGTGATGACTTTCTGGTCCTTCTTAAGCTCCTTCAGCTCAGGCAGTATGAGTCTTCGGATCGCGTCTTCAACAGTTTCAAGAAGCTTTGGATTGTTGATCGATGACTTCGAGGTGCCGGATTTGAACGAGTACTGGTCACCGGATCGGCGATGCGAGGACACAGCCGAGGCGCTGAGGAGGCTGGATTCTGGACTCATCATATCGTCGGGAAGAGCCCGACGACGAGGAGACTTCGAATCCATATCTTGGAGATCACTGCCGTCTTCGAACCTACTTCTTTCGGCACGCCGGCGTTGCCTAGAGACGTCCCGAGGATCGTTGCTGAGCTTCTCTGCGACTCGATGAGCAATGCGTTCGGTGCTGAGGCTGCGACTACGTTGTCGCCGGGGGGTTTTGAGGTACTCCTTGGATTCACGTTCCAAGCTCTGACTGCGTTTTCGTCGAGGACCAGATGAGGGGGCTTCCAGCATGCTATCCGCCGGCATCGACGAGATGTCGGAGGTTGGGTGGAAGTACCTGTCGCGCGACAGGGCGGAGAGCTCACTACCTTGGTCGCGATTCATGAGCTCAATTTCTAAGGGAGAATGGCCGGGAGGCTGGTTCTCATCAGTGGCTGAATTGGAAGAACTGTCATCCACAGCCGACTCCTCCAGCGACTTGTGCTTGTGGGGCGAGCTCAGGGAGATGCGGCGGGAATAGACGGGTTTCCGATTGCCACTCGACTCGGTGATCTGAATGTGGTCCTTCTGGTCCTTGAGCTTCCGCGCGGAGGAAGGGGTGACACGGACACGGACACTGGGGCGGGAAGTGAGGGAGCCAG